GTTATCAGACGGTGTCTATCTCTGACCTTTAGATGTTAAACTTGATCTTTGACTACCGGTAAGTGTGGAATTCACTTTTGATCTTCTAACAAAAACTATTTCTTGACACAACTAGTGAGGATTTTCAACAAAACCTCTGTAATGATACTAAGGTTGTGTACAGGAGTACCCGGGTCATGTGCGAGTTCCATTCCTACGGATGTTCTTAAGTCAAACCACATACTCTATATGCATATCGTACTTACAGAACAAAGTCAAGGAAAAATACATGAACTTACCTAAAATTATAAAGATTTTACCTCATCATGTCACTTCCACCTTAGAGCAAGGATACACATAGCTACTGTATTCTGTAATAAGTATATAGCTACAGTACAGAACATTTGCTCAGAAAATTATTAAGTCCCCGAGTACCAGGATATAAAAATCTGTGGATTATTTTCATGTTTATCACTAGCTATAAAATAAATTACTCAAGAGGACAAGAATGTAATTATATTGAACAATGGAAAGTTCAGAGTAATGTTTGGTTTTGGTCTGATGTTCTGAGCAATAAGACCATTGCTAAATCTTTGCAAAACTTCCAATCGAGGTAAAATACAAATAGATAAGACGTGCTGTACTGTCATCTTATCTTGTTCCCTTAAAACACCCTCCCTATAGCTATATGGTACACTGTATACTGCAAAGTCAACAGTAAATTTCCCATAACTTAGTGGGAAAATTTAATATTGTACAGCTCCAGTATAATGGTACAGTCTAAAGGTGAACACAAAAATAACTTCTGAAAGGAGTGAAGGTCAAGTCACAACTCTTGTAAAAAGTAAACATGTCATACCTGAATGTAAAGAATACAGGTATTATAATATCTAAAACAGGTTTTCATTGTCTTCCCTTCATACACAACTAGATTCTACATGTATGGTATGCATATGACTAAGATCAGGCACGTGATTCACCAATGCCCTTGTTAAAATACCTGAACCAAACCTACAGTATTAACATGTCTGAGCTCATAGGGAGAGAATATGTCCCTGCCAAGTTTTAAGAAAATATATAAGCCCCTTCAAGAGTGATCACACTCAATGAAACCTGTTAAGATCTTTTTTATGTCACCCACGACAGCCTGTTCAGTATACTGTATCTGCCAGTAATTAACTTAACGCTCTTCGACCTTACACTACTCACCATCAGTGACTCATGTACTATACCGACCATGAACTGTGAGGGTTATTACCAATACCATAAGTGATCAGAGCTGAGCTGATGAATAAACTAAGAGATAAAAACATACAAATTAATATGTACACCTTCCCTATAGCATCACAGGTAACAGTACTGTATGCTTCCTCTAAATCACCCTCATAAGGAGCTTGGTGAGGTTGGTATAAAATACAAAAATATAAAATAAATTAAAATAAAAGACCTACCACATACATACAGTAACTACCACAAACTTTTTCACACATTAAAAAAATATATATCAAATTCTATATCCTAATTTGATAAGTGTGAGTTATCCTGAGAGATATTCAGTCTAAAACCTCACACAGCAGTGAAGCTGTTCATCTATCATTAAAGATAACTAGAGGCATACAGTATGGCTCGACAGTCAACAGTTAATATCCAAATGGTTGTGAGCAAAGTCCATGTCTACAGTCATATAGCTGTGAAGTATTCTTCTGTCTAGACAGTCAAATAATTGTGAAGTATTATTCTGTCTAGACAGCCAAGTAGCTATACTGTATTAGTTATTCTCCCGTCTAGACAGTCCCATAGATGTAAGCTGTCCAGGATTACTTTTAAAGTAAGTGGTCAAATAACAACAGCCTAAATGTATTTTTTCCCTGAAGTTTGTGAGCCTTTAATCTTTATATTATTTCAGGCTTAAACAACAGATTCTCATAACAATCTATGTACCATAAATATAATGAGAATGTGTGAAACTAATAACTTAAAAAGGTCTGTCAAGTGACCTTGACATCCAACACCTCTTGAGCAAAAACAAGAAGCTCCCATATATGAAAATCAGCAACATGATTCAATAGGCAGCTTAAAACAATGTTGAAATGTGCAAACATGTACAAGATGCAAAATTACCGAGTAAAACTTGAGTGAGTGATGTTTGATCTTGACATTTAACTTGTTTTACAGGATTAACATACCCGGCACAGTGGAATACTTTAACTTTTACTTTTATCCTCTTCGCCACTGATCAGCTTGTTAGCCGTTTGGGCGATCGGTCACGTCTCTGATTACTTTTCCTTTTCATTTATCTTCTTTACCAAAAGATCGGCTCGCTAGCCGCCCGGGCGGTCGGCCACGTCTCTCTCACGCACTGTTGGAAAATACTGGGCATGCACCGGCTCCTGAATGTACCTGAACCCGCTCCAGTGTTGGTCAAGTCTTGTCTTGAAAGAGCTCACACTCGGTGCCGTCACAACACACTCTGGTAGATTGCTCCAAAAGTTTACAACCCTCACTCCGAAAAAGTTTGCCCTCACACTTTTCTGGACTTGCGGCTTCTTCAATCTTGAGCTGTGACCCCATGTGGGGCGAGCGTCCGCCACCTCCAAGTAAGGACACTCAACTGAGTAGTGCCCCCTGAGATGCTTATACACCTCAACTAGGTCCCCCCCCCTTATAAATGGCAACATATTCATTTTATTTTAATATGTACGGTACCTCCTGTAATACCTGGTAAAGAATACACTACATACAAAAATGCAATGTTTCTATAGAAGTAATAAATGCAAATAAAAAATTAATTATCCTTCATGGCAACTACAGGTATAGTACTTAATACAGTATATACGCTGTACGCTTTTTATTAAAAAAATATAAAAGTATCAAAAAGTAAATCGATGTATAGTTTCCAAATAAAAATTAACAGATCACAAGAAGATTAGGCATCCCAGCTCATTTCACCTTATTATTACCGTAAACATCATGACGCTAACTTGGGGAGGTTAGGTCAGGTGAAATAAGCTGGGGTGCCTAACCTTTGTGATCAAAATTAACTGATAAATTATTAAAACAGTAACACCTAGAAGAGTGCTGTCACAAGGTAAAACTAGTACCGGTAGCTACTGGTACACCAAAACCGTGAAAACAAGTCACCGTGGAAAGGATTTACTGTATAGTATACAGTATGCCTATCATACTGGTATATATTGTATAACTGCAAGGGGTCCCCGACTTACGAACGCCCGCCAACACAAACGGAGTTAAACTTTAAATTTATAGTATTTTATTTACCTGATAACTTATTTTTTACTTTCATTTACTGTATATTGTCATTCTATTTCTTCTCTTGTCTTAAATTAAGTTATTTTAGATGTATACAAGGATTTAGGCTATGATACAGTGTGATTTTAAACATTGTTCTGTAAGTACAGCATGCACATAACAAGTGTTCCCACTTCCGTACAATTTTGACTTAAGAACATCCTCAGGAACGGAACCTGTTCGTAACCCGGGGACTCCCTGTACTCCTGAATTTCTATTAACATATACTGTACAGTACAGTAAACTATCTACTAAATCCAGTACCGTTATATTTAAAGCACAGTACTGGCATAAATTTCATACCAAACAATATGTCCATCAATCTGATTTTAAAAATTATAAAATACAGTAGCACCCAAAATTAATACTGCACATACAGAATGGTACTGTACCGGTAGACCTTACTTTGGTAATGTCGCAGTTATTTTAATAATAAATGGAATGGTAAGTGTGTCATAAGTCAAGGTACATTCAGCACTTTGAGTGTCTCATATTAAAAAGAACAGACCAGAAGTTTGTTTCTCCTAAAATTGGACATAATTCATAGATGTTTTGTTTTACTGTGGTTGCACCAATAGCATATAAGCCATGGCCCACTTGCCATTTCTTAAGTAGCTACTGATAAATGCAAATTTTTTATTTTTCCTTGCTCTGGCCCTATAGGTTACAGGTGTCCCCTAATATACGTACAGTACAGGGGGTCCCCGACTTGCGAACACTCGCCGTTACGAACAAGGTTAAATTTTAAATTTACAGTATTTTACTTACCCAATGACTTATTTTTTACTTTTACTTAATGTGTTTTGTCAATCTATTTCTTCTTTCCTCTTAAATTAAGTGATTTTAAATGTACGTAAAGACTTAGGCTATGATACAGTGGGATTTTAAACATTGTTTTACAAGTACGATCTGTACATGGCACGTGTTTCGACTTACGTACATTTTTTATTTAAGAACGTCCTCAGGAACAGAATCCGTTTGTAACCCGGGGACCCCTGTATGCCTGATAAACCAAAATTTATTTTACGAATATACATAATGACCTTTTTTTTTTTTAGAGAAAATGCAAACGTTTAGCTGTCACGCAGTCAAGATGACCACCAGGAGTGCAGAGGTACTTTTACAAATATTTATACAACTTATAGAAACTTCAATTTTCCCTGGAACAAAACACCACAAATAATACATGGGTTCTACCATTCAATATACATTTTTTTTTTTCACTTCATAAATGGATATCCAGGAACATAACCCCTCCGTACATGCTGAGATGCCTGTATTTATATTCTGTGCTAACCACTATTAACATCACTAAAATACCATGCAAAATATACTGTATTACCAGCACCAAAACATGTTAATACCCCAATATTTTTTTCTTCTTACAAATCAAACATAAAACTTGCCAGCTTATATTTGTTTGCTGTTAAACATAAGCCAAAGGAAATTATTTTTGTACCAATAGTCCGGCCTACACACATATTTTACCATCACTAAAATATACATAATTTATTTCCGAGACAAGATTGTAAAGCATGAAGTAACTAAAGTGTCTCTCAAAGAATACAATGAATAATTATACATGTTAACTAAAAAGCAATATTTAGACAGTGCCTGATGATCATATCTTGATACACAGTATAATCTCTTTATCACTTACAGATGATTAAAGGATTTTGAGTGAGTTTAATTACCAGATTTAACTATGGTACAGTATCGTTATAATTTTTTGGAGACAGACCTGTCATACTCGGCGTTGTCATGGTCACACCTCTCGTCCTTGTACTCCTTCCAAGAATCTCCGTGTTTACAAGTGGTCAGGAGAACAATATCTCGCTCGTTGTGTAAGTGGTACAGGCTGTTCCGCGTCTCGCTACCAATACCGTACACGTATCTCTTGCCCTTAAAAGACAACAGGTACTTTTTGGTCCCTGGGAATTTGTTGGATTCCAAGTAGCCATCGTCTCCACCTCGTTCGGGATGTGTCTTATAAAACAGGGGGAGTGAAATGTCAAACCCGGTCCGGAAATTTTCGTAGGATATGCTGGCCTTGGCTAATATAGCCTTGCCGACGTCAAACCCTAGGTCTTCAGTGTAGTCGGGGAAGGTGCCTGAATAAAGGTTAAAAATTATGTGATTCTGTCCGTTGTTCCATAAAGGCAACCGCTGAATCCTGTGAGGCATATTCCTTACGTAGTCTTTGCTTAACGTGTCCCGATCCAGCGTGTCAAGACTCAGAATGAAAATACAAGCCTGACTGGGGTCTGACGTGTGATAATTTGAATCTTGAACCACAGTGAGCACTTTCATATAGTTGCTGCTAGGAGGCGCGTTGTCATCGATCGGATACACATACACCTTAAAGCCTTTCTCGCACAGTGTAAAATCAAAGCACGTCTCCATCTGACACTCTCTAAAAGCGTTGCCGTCACCATTCTCCCTTGTAGTTCTTCTATTCCTAAACCTCGGGCTTGGAGATATGTCCTCGTCGTGGACTATATCTGAATCTTCGGAATAACTTGACAGGTGTAGATACCACTTATTTTGTCGGTGGATTTTGAAGTGATGGTAACCAAAATATCCGAAGGAGAGAAATGCACAGCAACTAAATAGGAGTAAATAACGTTTCTTGGCCTGCATTATGGCTGTTCTTCTTAGACTTAGCTTCAGGGGGTTACTCTTAAGTGGCCAGCATCGCTTGACACCGGGGTAGAGCTTACAAGCACCTCCAAGGAGACACTGTCACTGGCTGTGTTCAGTGCTGCTAGTATTGCCTCTTATCCTCTTGGGAACAGCGTCCGTGGCACAGCACACATCCCGTTGACCACCCCATTTTGACAGATGACACCACTACACACGTCTTGGCACAGCTACAAGCTATGTTGTCCCAAAACACAGCTGAAGAACCGATACACACACTCATGTTTTGTTTGGGTTCTGGCACACGTAACTTATTAAGCTTTTTCTGGCCATTTTAGAGCACGACGATGATTATTACACATATCTAAGGATACATATACTCATAATAACACTAAATCCACCCGTAAATCACATGTTTCTATTCACAATGATTCACAACTGAGCGAAAACAGACCAGCTGCTTCCTCTCGTCCGCACCCGCTGGTAGTAAACACATCACTGGGAGGTCTTCAGGTCTAGGCAGGTCCCTCTGGCGTGTCTCCCGGTAAACTGCGCTCACTGACGTCACCCAGCGCCCACTTTAAACACCCCGTCACCCATTACCTAACATTTTTAAAGGGCTTCACCATTCTTACTCATACTTCATTACTTATCCGAACATTTATCATCAGGTAAACTTTAGTGCACAAGCCTTACGTGATCCTTCATTTTTCCTTGTATATTATCCAAATGAAGACTTCCTTATACCACTGAAATTTAGGTTTGTCATTTATTCTCGCCTCTTCTCGTTCAACAAACTACTTTATTGATTCCAGAATTACTCTTACCTAATGACCAACATATCACAGCGTAAAAAATAAACAATTATCTTTATATTTATTAATAACGTGGATTATAAAGAAATAAACATGACTATTAATCACAAATAATATATATATCACATTGAAATATTTGGTTAGTAACTTAAGAGGATATTTAAGAATTAACAGAACTGGACATTATAGGATTATATTTATATTAAACACCTGTAGAAATATTTAAGAATATTTCATAATTAATATAGTGTTAAAAGCCTCGAGTTATTTAATTTGAATATTATAAAGTTTCTTTGTGTTAATTATTATTATTATTATTATTGGGTAACTGATGTTATTACCATTATTATTACTACTCCCATTACTATCATTTACTATTGCTATTATTACCATTCCTATAATTATATCATTATTCCTATCTCTACCACAGGTAAACCACGCTACCTTTAGCCCTAATTAGTTCACAGCAGATAAAAAGTAACAAAACTGGGGCATTATATACATGTCGTTTAATGAGTTATGACATGAGATAACTGGCTAGGGATGCTAGGTGTTATCTGAGATGTCTGAAGTTCCGGGTTCGAGCCTTGATAATCGTTTCCTGTCTATACAACTTAAATGTTATTCATGTTGCTACTGTAGTGATTTTTTCTTGACTATCTGTCTGTCTGTCTATCTGTTTCCTGTTGCTACTGCAGTGATTCTTTATTTACTGTCTGTCTGTCTATCTGTTTCCTGTTGCTACTGCAGTGATTCTTTCTTTACTGTCTGTCTGTCTGTCTGTCTGTTGCCTCAGTCTGTCTGTTTTATTTCTTGTGGTGACCTCATGCCTGTCTGTCTGTGTCCTTACCGTCATTTTTGTACAACTGTCTCTCTGTCTGTATCTCTGTCTGTCTGTCTCTTATGTTTGTTTGTTTGTTTGATATTATTTATTTGTCTGTCTGCCAAACAAAATAAACAGAACAACAAGAAAACAACAAGAACAACAAGAAAATAACAAGAACCAAAAAAAAGAAAAACAAGAACAAGAATAACAAGAACACAAATAAAATTAACAAGAACAACAAGAACAAGAAAACAACAAGAACATGAACAATAAAATGAACAAGAGAAAGAACAACAACAACAACACGAAGAACAAGAACAACAATTAAATGAACAAGAACAACAACAACAACACGAAGAACAAGAAGAACAAAGACCAAAAGACTATAAGGAAGAGAGAAGTTATATAATAATTGCTACTTCCGGTGGTGGGGAGGAGTTGGCACTGGGAGTTAAATAGTGCCATGTGCTAGCTGACGTAAGGACCAATGTCTCGTGTGTGCCAGCGAGAGATTGAACCTTAAACCGATTGATATAATGGATCACTCTTGGATTAATATGAGTCCATGTGGCAGGAACTCATGAGTTTATACGAGTCTTAGTTATAATTGTAACCTAACCTAACCTAACCTGTACTAGCATTGCTATTAGTGTTACTTTTATTTCATAGCTATTAACTTAAGCACACGGTTGATAATCACGGCAGGAAACGTATTAGAAGCTCCATGGTATCTGTTCTTACGTCTGTTTTGAGTGTGTGTGTGTGTGAGTGTGTGAGTGTGTGTGTGTGTGTGTGTGTGTGTGTGTGTGTGTGAGTGTGTGTGTGTGCGTGTGCGTGTGCGCGTGTGTGTGTGTTACGTACTCACAAGACACTTTACCTCTTCGTTGGAACACATTTTAAATTATTTCCTCATTATTAATTTTACTTAATTAAACTCATTTGTGAATAAATCAACTGTGTAAATCTCCTTTGTTTATATCACAAAGGAGAGAGAAGATGATGAGGAGTGTGTATGTATACCGTATGTTCCTGTGTATGTATGTATGTATGTATGTATGATCGTATACAGTACATGTGTGGCAGGAGAGAGAGAGAGAAAGGCCAGAAGGTCGTATCATCACGGTAATCACAACACACACCTCACCTCTATTGACACCCAGACTATAACAGAGACGAAAATTATACCTTTCCCCAATAGTTGATGTTATCGTTTATTTATTTATTTTTACCTTTATTATCTTTTATCTTTCTTTGTCCCGATATTTTACGAGTACAGTCTATCTAATTATGGGGAGGAAAACAAAATGTCTGACTTTATGAACTGAGACTATTTTGAGTATAGAATTATGGGATCAGGTGAAGATTAGACCCCCTCGCAGATTGCTTCACGTGGTTATTAAAACATCCTATCGCTACCTGGGGATTAGATTAGGTTAGGTTAGGTTAGGTTAGGTTAGGTTAGGTTATGTTAGGTTAGGTTAGGTTAGGTTAGGTTATGTTAGGTTATGTTAGGTTAGGTTATGTTAGGTTAGGTTATGTTAGGTTATGTTAGGTTATGTTAGGTTAGGTTATGTTAGGTTAGGTTAGGTTTGGTTATGTTAGGTTTTGTTAGGTTATGTTAGGTTATGTTAGGTTAGGTTAGGTTATGCCGGGGTGTTTAATCCTCACGTGATCCTAATTAGGTGAAATGCGTCGGGAATTCCAAACATCTACCTGGTATTACTAGACGAAATCCCCCAGAACTCAAACCTAACTCCAATACGGGCAAACAGGAACACTTGACTGTCCCTCTCTCACCCTCACCAACGCCTGGCTTCTTCCTGCACTGGCGCTACTTCACGACACGAGCACAGAGACACATGATCTCAAACACCCCGAGAGACTACACCAAAGAGAAACTAATTCCCTTAAGGTGAATTCTCTCTAGTTTGTGAGAGATATATTTTCCCCAGCAGGAGACGTGAGCCATATCTCAGTGGCTCACCTTCCGCTACGGCTCAGCTAAGGCCCCTTCACTCACGACCACGCTCCTACCACAGTGAAACTCTACCACAGTGAAACTCCTACCACAGTGAAACTCCTACCACAGTGAAACTCCTACCACAGTGAAACTCCTACCACAGTGAAACTACTACAATGAAACTCTACCACAGTGAAACTCTACCACAGTGAAACTCTACCACAGTGAAACTCCTACCACAGTGAAACTCCTACCACAGTGAAACTCCTACCACAGTGAAACTCTACCACAGTGAAACTCTACCACAGTGAAACTCCTACCACAGTGAAACTCCTACCACAGTGAAACTCTACCACAGTGAAACTCAACCATCAAAAGAGACCCTATGTTACTGAACCCTCTCAAAAACACAGGATAATATACGATAAAGTGTCCCACTCATTGGGTGTTATCTCATGGGGTAGTATCCGCCGTTCACAGGTGTCCCGATACTGTGTCGTAAGCTTGGCGACACAATAAATGTTATCTTAATACAAATGCCCAAATAGGCGCGCGCGCGCGCGCACACACACACACACACACACACACACACACACACACACACACACACACACACACACACACACACACACACACACACACACACACACACACACACACACACACACACACACACACACACACACACACACACACACACACACACACACACACACACACACACACACACACACACACACACACACACACACACACACACACACACACACACACACACACACACACACACACACACACACACACACACACACACACACACACACACACACACACACACACACACACACACACACACACACACACACACACACACACACACACACACACACACACACACACACACACACACACACACACACACACACACACACACACACACACACACACACACACACACACACACACACACACACACACACACACACACACACACACACACACACACACACACACACACACACACACACACACACACACACACACACACACACCACACACACACACACACACACACACACACACACATCGACAGAGGTGATTGTGTTGCTATGACCAGAAGGATATTTTTAAAGATTTACTGAAGACGAAGGACTGAAAGGTAAAAGGACATATTGGGTGGGTGGGTGGAAAGGGACGCTTATATTATGTCTAAGGATCAAAGTATCAAGATCAAGCCAAATACTATAACATTATCATCATCACCGAAGTTCACTGTCACCATTATCAGCACCAGTGCCACACGGGGGATGGTACAAGTCACCAGGGATACAGCGTAAAGTCGTGCCTTGTCACCACCACCCACGACAGGAGGAGGAGGAGAAGGCCACCAAGCACCACACAGTTCCTGCAATGTCACTTGAGTATATTATACCAGCACACTGCGGTGACGTCAGGGAGGGGAGAGGGGTGGGAGAGGGGGGTGAGAGAGGGGGTGAGAGAGGGGGGGAGATGGGGAGGCGGCTCCAGGAAACTTGGATGGATGTTTCCTGTTAAGTCATACAAGCAAGCAACTACGAGGTCCTTATATGGTGTGAACAACGACCCCCCTCCCCCCCCACACACACACTGCTGCGTCACGTGGAGTATAATGGCTGGGATAATTATAGGGCATTATAGGATGGGGAGAGATTATGTAAAGCTTAATTCTTACGCTTCTAGGATTATATAACAGATTCAGGTAACATTTCATTGCACTTCTAAGTAAAAATTTCACTTCTACTCTAAGTAATCAAAGTAGTGTTGTGGTACTTTTATATCTGCGGTATATCGAGGGTTAATGGCCCTACCTTTACGGTACTGCCGGTATATTACCTGTAAACATGTACCTTATACCTGTACCTGTAATCCTTATATCTGTACC